ATATTATTAATATTATTATTATACAGTATTTATAAAGCGCCAATAGTTCGCTCAGCGCTGTACATTACAAAGGGGGACAGAACATGTGACAGAACAATACAATGCAAAACATGAGGGGATCGAGGGCCCTGCTCTTCCGAGCTTACAATCATAGGGGGGACATTGTAAAAAAAAAAATATATATATTTTTATTTGTAAAAAAATTAAAGTTACACCCAAAGCACATAACATCCCCCCCCCACATATACACACATACAAACGTAAAAGCACACTCATGAAAAACGTTGACTGCGATACATGTTACATATTGCCGCACACACCAGAATGAGAGCAATAATTCTAGCACCAGACCTCCTCCATAACACTATACTGCTAACCTAGAAGGGGCTTTAAAAGCGCCACATAGAGAAAATATAGGGTACTGAAGCTCATTGCCATTTCATGAGCGCAAGCAAATTTAAGGTTTGACAAGTTGGATATCTATTTACTCGCTGCAACCTCATCTTTTATATTTTACAAAAAAATAGGGTAATTTGTTTTTTTTTGTGCCCTAAAATGAACTAGTATATTTTACTGAAATTGTGCAGTAATATCATGTGACATAAAAAATTGGAACTACCACTATTGTATTCTCTAGGGTCTCTGATTTCAGAAAATATATCATGTTTGCGGGTTTTGTGTAATCTTCAGGCCTAAAATGATTTTTTTTAAATCTTGTGCAAAAAAAAAAACGGCTCTGAAACTAAAGGGATTAAGGATAAGCCCGACACTCCCCTTTCCTGACAAGTACCCAATCAGTTCTCATTACACTGCATGGTGTCTTTCTGCTGCCTGTTAGTCCCCGTGTGCGGTGTTGGAGGCAGGCAAAGAGGGGAGGAGTCGATAAACAGCGCAATGTTAAAAATAATAAACATTTAAGTCACCATAAAACCCCTTTTGGTTTTAAAACATTCCTAATGTCACCTCCGATTTAAATACGGTTTTGGTTAAAACATTTTTTTACTTATCTGGACAAGTAGATTGTCATGAGGGACAAGTAGATTGGGACATGATTTAGTCCGTGGACAAGTAGTTTTTTAAAAAATTTCCACACCCCTAATAATCTGCCCCCCAGATGAAAGGATGATGCTTGTCCTGCATTGGTTACTCGGTTGATCGCATAAAGGTTTATGGGGTAGGGGAGGTGGTGAGGATGGGGGCGGTTCGGTGGGCTGGCGATAGATTTTTTGTGTTGCCTAGGGCAGCACAAAACAAATACACGAATGACACACATACACATTATACAGCAGCCTTTCTCAACCTTTTCAACAGAGGAAGTTTCATTAATTAACAATCCAATCTCAGGGAATCCCTGCTTAAAGTGACTAAATATATATATATATATATATATATATATATATATATACATACACATATATATATATATATATACACATACACACACACACACACAACTCATGATACATTAGTATGATGGTCAGTGGGAAGAATGCTTTTTACACTTGTAGTCATTGGAAAGAATTACCCCCTTACAGATAGCTAAAAAGAACAATGGTGTCAGTGGGAACTTATCTGAGAGGCACAACTTGTTCATTGCTCATGGGACCCCTAGCAACCTCTGGAGGAACCCTAGGGTTCTATAGAAGCCTGGTTGAGAAACCTGTTATATACACACATACAGAAATGCTGACATTTCTCTATCTTCCCTCTCTGATTTCAACAGCCGTGTGGACACTCCCACTTACAGCCCAATCTAAACCTTCTGCTTGTGTGCATAGGACAATGAGATGTAAAATGATTACAACTAGTCAAACAAAACACACATTAAAAGTACATTTAGATTTTAATAAACATATAGTATGAACTAAACTACTAGGACTAAACTGAAGGCTTTTCTATTTGACTGGAGTAGCTTCTTAGGACATTAGAAGCAGGGACCCCGACTGGCATATTGGAATATAAAGCATTTTAGTACATTAAAAGGTAATAAAGATCATCATTGTCAAAGCCAGGTGATTTTGGCTGATCAGACAAATGATTATAAGCTGCAAATAGTAGTGGACACCTCTGATCAAATTTCTCAGGGAAACCCGTAACTTACTGAATTGTTTTTTGCCATTCACCATTGTGTCTCCTGTGAATTTGCCATCAGTACTTAGCCAGCCCCCTCCTTATTGATAATAGCCTACAGACTGCACCTATCCAAGTGTTCATATTAATGGCACACTATTCTGTAAACAGAACGCCTGGTCACCATCAAACCACTTTTCCAGCGAGTACTGCCAAGCCATCAGCACAGAGAAAGCACTGACATTACTTGGAGAATCTTCAGCTGTCTGCAGCACACTCCACGCAATGTGCTGGACATTGGAGGGTGAAACAACTGTTCCTTTCATTAGCTCTCCATTTTGTTTTCATTATCTTGAGGGATGAGAGGAGACATTTATTCTATCTGGAGTATGCACCTGGCAAATTTCCACACTGCATTTGCTTGACAGCTGTGCCATGCCACCATCTCCTCACCCTGGCATGGTCCTACTGAATTAATGTTATCACTGACACCCATTCAACCTCCCAAGATAATGGAGAAAGCACAAAAACTTGGAGTGTGATGAATAAACACGACATTCATCAGAATAAGTGCAGATGGGGATTGCATTCATTGTGGTTGTTGCTGCTACAGGAACACTATCCCGGGAACTTCACATTTACTTGAGAAGAGTTAAACTCTAGGTAAATATATAAATACATAATTTATAGTGGACCTTCATCATCCTCATCCATTTTCTATCATTCTACTCCAACCTTTCTTATAATCATAATTATTTTTATAGGTGTATAAATTTACCAAGCCACATTTCATTTTGGTGACAAATAAAAAGGCAAAGACACTGAAACACGGAGAGTACAACCATGACACGTGTAAATCATGTACACAGCATAGAGGAAAATTACACAAGGGAGCATTGTATAATCCAGAACTTTTTTATTTACACCTTTCTTGGGGAACCCGCCTCATGCTTCCAGTTGTATCGCCTTATTAAACAATGTTGTTGCAGAAGCCCACAGCCTCCTGGCATACTAACATCATACATTTCACAAGGACTCCAGATACCCTACTGTGCATGGACCATGGTGTGTCATTAGGGGCCGGCCATCCTTTCTTGGTTCTTGCAGCAGCCCCGATTAACGCACATCTTTAAGGAGCCAGCTGCAAGAGCTCGGAAAAGACAGACCGCTCCCATTGATGTCATTGAAGATGATGGCAGCATGGTGGATCCCTACAGAGCACTGTTGGTTTGTCGGGTGCCCGAGTATGTTTTTAGTGGCGAACCCAGAAAAAATAGGCGAGAGGGTAAGAAAAAAAAAAAAAATTGGAGGTGGGGGGTAATGCAGTTATTTATCTTTTGAAACACATTGATATGTAGATTTAAATACAATTAGAACAAGTACTTGAATTTAACTTGGTATTAGCTTCATGTACTGCAGTATTTAGACTGGAGGGAGGGCGGGCACTAGAAGCCAAAGTGTTAAACATGCCAATAGCTGAAAAGACTTAATCTGGCCGTCTATGGCTCAAATATGAGCTGTGGGTAGCCCTTCCAACATCACCCAGCTCAACAAAATGTTAGCTAAGAAAATTGAACGAGACAGGGTGAAAAAAGTTGGGCCAACTAGTGACTGCAGCTGATTGGGCATTTTGACAGCCGCTGGTGCCAGCCATCAGAACAAAATAGTCAACCGCAGAAGATTGGTATACACAGTTTTTTGTGGCTGGGGAAATCTATAGATGTCTCTTCTTCAGCCCACTGTGTAAGTGAAACAGGATTTCTGCTGCTCTTTCACTATCTAGAGACATGTTAGGATGTGAAGTTGACCAAACTGCATTGGTTAACTGCAGTAACCACTAACAGATCCTTTAGCAGGCAAAACTGTTCCTATATACTGTATGTTCTGTCAAATGTGTATTCAGCGGTTTGCATACACTTTAGCTTTAATTACCCACTTGCGGACCAGCAACGTACCCGTAATTCAATGGACTTCAAGTGATATAGAGTCTCCAAAACTATTTGCATATATTTCTTAAAACCTTGAAATGTTCACTTGTGGAAAGGTTTGCTAAGGGATTTCATGTGCCCTCATGCCTACAGGCATCTAACTGGATGTGGGCTGAATGCATGTCAGAGCTAGAAGGGCTATATTAAAATAAAAGTCCAAACATCTAAATACACACAGTTGAAATACGTAAATGTTTATGTCTTTTCTTGCACAAGGATTTGCAGGTCCGAGACCCATTTTCAACATGCACACCCCTCTGATAGCCAGAGAGGTCCCTCTGCTTCTTCCCTATTTAACTTTTTTTTTTCTCTTTTATCAGGTCCCTGCTCAGTGGACAGAATTACCACACTGATTACCTGTTCAATAAGCAGGATGGAGTCTGAAAGGTGACAACAAAATAAAGCTGAAAAGGGAAAAGTGTCACCTGTCTGGCTGGGTAGCAGGGCGGACATGTGCTAATCATAAGACTGACGGCTTGCCAGAACTACAATTCTTTTGGCAGGTAAAACAGTAAATACATATTGCAAATGTGTATTTAGCTGTTAAGAAGGAGTTTCAATTCAAGGAATACGGCTAACTAAATGTGTGCTCCATTTGATATCTGCTTTGCTGTGCCAGGGCGGATTATGAAATACCATTATTTTCAATAGCTGGCAAGAGGCCTACTAGGGAAAGTAGTCAGCATGATTCTGGTGCAGGAGATTTGCAGGCACAAGTGACAGATGAACTTTGCACCAGGTGTTTTTGTGTAAAAGGTGTCAGATAGTCAGATCTCAGGTAAGCATTGAAGCAGCTGGGTCATAAACAAAAGTGCTAATGTAAGAGTGCCCAGTGTACAAAGATACATTTAATGCACATGGGCATGCAGTGAAATATTGCTTTTGAGCCTCACTACATTTGTGCTGATGACCTGCAGTTACATGATTTAAGCAACTACTTACAGCAGCCATAGAATTTAATTCATCAATGTAAAATTCTGGCCAGCTTGTAGCACCTTTATTTTCTTCCTGGTCCTATGGAAAAGAAAAAAAAACATAAGAAAAACATTACCATTACAATGGAATATGTTACATTAAAATATAAATGTCTAAAAGAAAAGAGGAACTATTAATAAAGAACTAGTATTACATTTACAAAAACAATGTGAGACACCAATATGCAGACCTGGAATTTACATCTTGGCTTTTTTTTCTATTTCTCCCCACTACGCTCTGTAAAGATGACTGGTAATGCAGAACAGAGGAAGCTTATACTGCATTGTAAAGGATTATTTATTTTATTCCTGGTTGAGATATTCATGGCAAGAAAATATTAAAGAACAAAAGGTAGCTCACTCACAGGTCCTATTATTTTGCACCGTTTCTCACATACTCAACTGTTAAAGGCATGGAGGCAATATAGACAATTTTTTCTAACAGAAATGGTTTTTCCAAAATGAAACCATGTTTTGTGGGACAGATTAGATGCAAATGCTGCTTCTTGAAGTTCTTTAAAGGGAAATGGTTATGGAAGACATATGGAGAGTTGGCACTGATTGACTTGTTTTGGAGTGTACACACGTCAGAGTTGTCTTTCTTATCCTTGCTTCAATAGTTAGGCCAGTGTATACATGAATCAACATTCAGCTGGTTCGGAAGCGACTGGGCAAATTTTGATCCATATATGGACAGGATAATTGTACAGAAGTTGATCTGTCATTAGACTTCTGTACTACTGCCCTGTTGGAAAATTTCCTCTCAATCAGTGCATTCTGAGAGCTGGGAAGCCTCCCCACTGTCAAAATACAAAAGGAAGATTTCCTCATTCCCCCATCACACTGAATGGGGGAATCGAGTCAGGTTTTTCCGTTTAACTTGCAGGTTAAACGAAAACAAAAACTAATCATTTTGGGTCACAGACCCAAATGAAGTATATCATGGAACATGGTATGCACATAGTGGATCCAGGCCAGTGGCTTGCAAGTATCCAAGGATAATAAAAGTAGCAATGTGTTCTAGAGCTCACGATCGTTATTTGCATATTGATCACATTTTTCTCCCTATGGATATGCTGCGCAAATTAAAGTCAGCTAAAATAATGTCAACACCCTGGTCAGACCATGATGTGATGATGCTAACACTCTTTAATTTGACTACCATCCTGGCCAAGCCGCATTTGTGATTGAATGAGTCCCTTCTTAGCAACGAGTCAACCCGCCTTGAAGTCATGGAGCACTTGAACTCTTACTTTACCATTAATAAAGTGGAAGATACGACCCCTACTATTAACTGGGCAGCTCATAAAGCCTCTATCCAATTTCCAATTACAGTGGCAAAAAAATCCTTTAAGTTACTTATATGCAGTTAGCAGCAAGAATCACTATAGCTAAATACTGGAAAAGATCAATTATCCCGATTGAATTTAAGAACAAATTGAATTGGATCATGGTTAATGACAGGCTCACATGTATTCTACACAACAATACTGACAAATTTGATAAAACATGGGACCCATGGCTTCAATACATTTCAGTGCCTTGATATTTCCCGATTCGACCAGCTTATCTCCAACTCACTTCTTTTTCTTACTTTTTACTGCCCCCCTTTTTTTTTTTCGCTTTTTGGGGCTCATTGAGCCTTCTCTTTATTTGTTCTACATCTGTCATGTTTTCTACAACATTCGTTCTGTGTGATTCATGGGGCTACAGCCATTGCCTTTTATACATCTGGTGGACTTACTGTTGGGAATTTCCCATTTGCCCTACTCAATTGTTTTCTAAGGTATGTCTGCTGTTTGTTAAATCAGGTGTTCTTTTGAGATGTTCTATATCTGTTGTTATGACATTTGTCTTGCGCACGATTTGTAACTTTAAAAAATTTCAATAAAAACTATTGAAAAATAAAAGCAGCAATGAAATATATACCTTTAATAAGTTATTAATGGCAGTTCCCATATTTACTTCTTTGTAGTTCCAAAAGCAAGAGGAAAAATAGGAAGGCACAATAAAAGATTTACCATTAATCCTTTCATTGCCCAGTACCCCTTGCCTCACCGTAGGTGCCTTTTTTTATTATTTATTTTTAACTACAAACCCACTTTACACGCCAGGATGCACATAGAATACCAAAGTTTGTTAGATTTTTAATGGAATTTGTTGGATACAGTAGGAATGATAAACACCCCTATCAGGGTTTTTTGTGTTTTGCTGTTTGTGTCAAATTCGGAAGATTTCCCTTTCCTGTCCCAGAAAAGACCGGATGCAAGTTGCAATCTCTCCAAAGCAAAGGAAACTTTAAGAGAGCTGTCACCAGAATAGGTGTACCTACTGGAAGATTTCCTTTGCCTGCTCTACTGGTAACAACTGTAAAATTTTACATTTGCCATCACTTTGTAGACAATGATCACCAGGACAAATAAAGATGACAAATCTCTCCAATGAGACACAGTCAGCAATCTCACAGGGATTCCAACCCTTACCAACACTATCCAAACTAAAGAAAAAAAAGGTTTGGATGTAGATGCACTTTAAGAGAGGAATTCCAGGTATGGCTATTTTAGGCATAGTTACATTGGTCCAGCTTGGACCAATGCAACTATGTATACATCATACCTGGTTGATGCCCCTGGAAGCTAAAATACACTGAAGTAGACACCGCTACTCCAGTGATCTCCCCAACTTCTGGTTACCATGACCAGAGGCTGCCCTTCAGCATTCTGAATATAGCAGGTCATGCAAAACTTGTTCTGATTGCATGAGGTGGAGAGGCAGGGCAGTGATACCCATGTCACAACGCGGCAGAGCAGTCACTGGAGTAGCGGCGTCTAGTGATTTCCAACTTCTAACAGGCATTGGCCAGGTATGGTATAACTGGAATCCATCTTTCAGAATGTCGATACCACAAAATATGTACCCAACTCAATGGCTATAAAGTTTTCAAATATTCATCAAAGAGCTGAAATTATGTCTCCCCAAAAGTTACAAAACATTGACAAAATGGGAGAACATTATCTATTAAGGTATGAAGCCAGTGCAATGTATATTATTTGCAGTTGGAGAAAACCACATTTTTATGCATGAAGATCAGAAGAGAGCCACGGTCCTAAGTTATCAATGTGTCCACAGCAACAAGACTTGTGCTTTCATCCTCCAAGTGCAGCAATGGAGAACAGAAAAAATACATACATCATGCAAAAATAACCAGTTTAGAAAGGTTTGAACCCTTTCATTCAGTAATGTAAACTATTTAAACACCTTCGTAAAGAAATCTGTTTTAGATGAAAAGATGACTTCAAAAGATGTAAAATAAACAAAGAAAACAGAATTGTTTCAGAGAGCCTTCACGAATGGTTTACATTTAAAATGAAAAAAAGGACAATTAGAGTAGTCTCCTGGTTTTTTTTTTTTTTTGTAATCCAGATTTTTATTAGAAGAAAGGAAATATGGTCCCCACATTATACTGGTGTGATGGTCTAATGAAAACACAGGACACAGTTCCTAAATGACAACCAATTATGATCAAAAGGGTAAAAATTTAATTTATTTGGGTTTATAGAATGAAACAAAGGTTTACTGAAATGTATGTTTCAAATACCAACATACTGTAAGGGTTATATTCTGACAAGTCCAAAAAAAAGGAAATGGTAAAAACAGAATGGAACATATATAATTACCAGTATTTACATTTGTGCACAAAAGTTTGCATATCCTGACAGAAATTGTGAAATTTTGGCATGAATATAAAAAAAAAAAATGACAGATCATGCCAAAAAAAAAACTGTCTTTTAGTCATGAATAGCGATCACACAAAGCCATTTATTATCACATAGTTGTTTGGCTCCTTTTTACATCATTACAGAAAACACCCAAATGGCCATGATCAAAAGTTTACATACCCGGAAATGTTTGGCCTTGGTACAGACACACAAGGTGACACACACAGGTTAAAATGGCAATTAAAGGTTAATATCCCATATCTGTGGCTTTTTAAATTGCAAATAGTGTCTGTGTATAAATAGTCAATGAGCTTGTTTGCGCTCATGTGGATGCACTGAGCAGGCTAGATACTGAGCCATGGGGAGCAGAAAAGAAGTGTCAAAAGACGTGTGTAACAAGGTAATTGATATTTATAAAGATGTAAAATTATATATAAAAAAAAAAAAATATCCAAAACCTTGAATATGCCAGTCAGTACTGTTTAATCACTTATTAAGAAGTGGGAAATTTGGGGATCTCTTGATACCAAGCCAAGGTCAGGTAGACCAAGAAAGATTGCAGACACAACAGCCAGAATAATTGTTCGGGATACAAAGAAAAACCCACAGATAACCTGAGGAGAAATACAGGCTGCTCTGGAAAAGATGGAGTGGTTGTTTCAAGGAGCACAATACAATACTTGAACAAAAATGAGCTGCATGGTTGATTTCCCAGAAAGAAGCCTTTACTGCACCAATGCCACAGAATGCCTGGTTACAATATGCCCAACAACACCTTGACACACCTCACAGCTTCTGGCACACTAATTTGTAATGATGAGACCAAAATAGAACTTTATGGTCACAACCATAAGCGCCATGTTTGGAGAGGGGTCAACAAGACCTATAGGGACAAGAATACCATCCCCACTGTTAAGCGTGGTGGTGGCACTGAAGTTTTGGGAGTGTGCGAGTTGTAAAAAGGCATGGGGAATCTTGTGAAAATTGATGGCAAGATGAATGCAGTGTGTTATCAGAGAATACTGGTAGACAATTTGCATTCTTCTTCCCAAAAGCTGCACATGGGATGCTCTTGGACTTTCCAGCACAACAATGACCCTAAGCACAAGGCCAAGTTGTCCCTCCAGTGATTAAGCAGAAAAAACTGAAGTGCCCATCACAGTCTCTTGAGCCACTCTGGGGACATCTCAAAATGTGTGGTTAATGCAAGAGGACCAAAGACTTTGCATGACCTGAGGCATTTTGCCAAGAAGAATGGGCAGCTATACTACCTGCAAAAAATCAGGGCCTCAGACAACTATTTCAAAAGACTACATGCTGTCACTGATGCTAAAGGGGGCAATGAACAGTATTAAGAACTAAGGGTATGCAGACCTTTAAACAGGAGTCATTTCATTTGTTTACTTGTTGCCATGCTTTGTTTTAGGATTGTGCCATTCTGGTATGACCTATAGTTGAACATAAATCCCATAAGAAATAAAAGAAATGTGTTTTGCCTTCTCACTGTTTTCTTTAAAAATGGTACATACTGTACTGTATATTACCAATTCTCAATGGGTTTGCAAACTTCTGAGCACAATTGTAAATAACGTGAACAAAAAGTAAAAAAGAGCCTATCTTCTAGAATCCATGAACCCACAAAAAATAAACATGATTGGGATAATAACTAATAAAAGACCCCCCAAAAAATTAAATATCTGAAAACTGCAAATCACTTCCCACACAACAGTTTATTGTATGACAAACAAGCACAAACATTAAAAAACATAGCAACTATTCATAAAATATATCTCCCCTTGCTCCAAAAAATCAATTTTAAGATAAGGTCTCAGACTATATGGTCGATATCTCTGGAATATGAGGCTCTCTTGTGACAAGTTGCAGTCTAGGTGTAGTGCTTTTAAGTTTTCATTTCAAAGCCTCAAGCAACTTCTTTTTGCCCAGATTTCACAGATGATAAAAGATAAACAATATTCCTCAAAGTATCGTAGATATATTCTACTTCATGAGTAGTAGATATATTCTCTATGCATACATAAATGTTTGTATTACAGACAGTACTCAAGACCTGGTACAGATCAGGGTGCACTATACTACTCTAGGCTAATATGGGGGCTCAGTCCTCAAGTATTTATTTTAAAACATTTTTGGAGCAAGGAATGAGTGATTTTGGGATTGCTTATCATGGATTTAATGTTTGTACATGTTCATTGTACAATCATTCTTTTATTTTTGTCTTGAAATGTATGTTTCCAGTTGTACCAGTTTAAGAAGACTGAGCCTTCCAACAATCCCTACTTTGAAAAGAAGGGTCCCAGCAGATGCAAGGAAAAGAAAATACATGCACTAAATATATTAAAGAACAACTCTAGGCAGATGAAATATACCAATAGCTGTTCTTTAATGGACTGGATTTTGATTCTTGGCAGGTACTCTTTAAGGCAGGCCCTGTGTAATCTGGACAAATGTCTGTTCACAGACATGTTCTATTTGTGAGGAATAACTGAGGTTGATGATAGAGCCGCACTTCATCTTTTGTAAAGAAGCTGTCTGCAGTGAGATTTGATACATGCTCATTCGTAATTACTTCTGTTTCATACTCTAAGTGAAGATATCAAGGGGCTTGGCAGTTTCTAGAACTCTTCAGCTACTCTTCAGAAAACTCAGAGGCCATCACCACTTGTAATTTGCTAAGAAGCTGCATGCTGACCACACCCAATGACGCAAAGGCCAGCGATCCCTCTGCCACAATAATAGCAGCATTGCTCATGCATGGTTGACTCACATTATCCCACATCTCTGCACATGCGTGCTTACAATTGCCGGGCAAGATTAGCCTTGCAAGTGCAATAGTAATTATTGTGAGCGCAATGCTGCGATCAATATGGCAGCAACATCTAATGCATGCGCGGTAGCAACTACTTTTTAAGTGATAGCCACTATATAAATGGCAATACTGCACATGGAGTGACTCGCACAATATACATAGCTGTCATCTTTTACCAACACAGTCAGGCCATACTGCCATACATACATCATCCGGTTCGGTTTGTGTCACCAGGACTACTACTGCAAATTCACAGGTCATTTGGCTGCTCATAATGCGCATGTATGGGGGAATGGATGTTGGATGTTAACGACACCTAAACACCCAACACCTGCCAGTCGCCATATTAACCACTTCCAGACCAGACACTTTTACCCCCTTCCTGACCAGGGCAATTTTCAGCTTTTAGCGCTATCACACTTTGAATGACAATTGCGCGGTCATGCAACAAAGTACCCAAATGAATTTTTTACCATTTTTTTTTAGATAGATAAAGCTTTATTTTGGTGGTATTTATTCACCACTGGGATTTGTATTTTTTTTGCTATGTAAATGAAATATCCAAAAAAAAATTTAAAAAAAGTGTTTTTTTTTTATAAAATTTTGCAAATAAATAATATTTCATCATAAATCTTAGCCAAAATTTATTCCGTTATCTTTTTAGTAAAAAAAAAAAAAATCCAAATTAGTTTATAAGCAAAAATTATAATTTTTAAACATTTTTTTTACATTTTTATTTTATTTTTTTATATTATATATTATTTTTTATTTTTTTTTACATACTGTCACCCTAGCAGTACAGTGTCACCATGGTGACACTGTACTACTTGTGAGGGGTGATAAAGATTTTTTTTTTTTTTTTTTTTTTTTTTTACACTGATTGCTTTTACACCCATATAGGATGTAAAAGCAATCATTTCTCTTTCTCTCTGTGTGCATTCCTGCACTCATTGAGAAATACAGAGTGAGCTGTGATTGGTCACAGCTTGTCACATGGTACAAGGCTTTTGTGAATAGCCTTGTACCATGTGACCTCTGTGATCATTCACAGATTTCACACATAGTAAGCAATGATGTCAGAAGTGACATCTTGCTTACTACTTTGCATGTGATCACTGATTGGCCAATCAGTGATCACATGATCGGGACCTCGTACAGAGGTCCCGTCCGACGATCTGTGTTTCACTGTGTCCGGAGGACACAGCGGGCACCGGATCACGGTGCTGCGCGCTCCCAGGGAGCGCGCACAAGCAGGGTGCGGGGAGGCCGTTTATAGACGGCCACCCGACCCTGCAGTGCCACCGTCCGGCCGTTTATATACAACGGCCGTTTTATATACAACGGTCGGGAAGTGGTTAAACACAAACCTGGAATCTAAGTTTAAGAAGTCAAGGGGGCAAAGTGATACTAAAGGCTCAGTTTTTTTCTCTTTAAACTAACAAGTATTTAACAAGCAACAACAAGCAATTGTTTTGCACTGAGCAGCCCCATTCCTCCTCCTCTCAGGCTCCCCACTGGCGCACCTGGCTCCTCACCCCCCGCGCAATGTGCCCACAGGAAGCCGCTTGCTATGGGGGCACTTGTGCGTGCTCACTCCCGATCTCTACACTGTGTGTTCACAAGAAAGACAGTGGGGCTCAGCCCTGCACCCTCATCACAGGCTCTGACTGACAGCAGGGGGAGCCAATGGCTCTCACTGCTGTATCTGAGCCAATGAAGAGCAAGAAAGCCTCGGCTAGAGATCCAGTTCAGGTATGTATGTATTTAGGTGGGAGCTGCACGCAGAAGGTTTTTTTTTTTTTACCTAACTGCATTTAGAATGCAGTAAGGTTAAAAAAAAAAAAAAAAAACCTTCGGCCTTTACAACCACTATAAAAAACTTAAAACATTTGCATTTCTCAGTTACAATTTATAACTATGCTGCCCAATTAATATGTACATCTAAAACAACTAACCTAACCCTTAATCCCATAATATTTTGATAATGAAATCTGATTTTCAATTTAAAACTAAGGGAGAAACTAAAAATGCCTTTCTGCTTCTTATATACTTCTTTTACAATAACGGTGGGATTTTATGGAGAATGAAATTGCAATTGTTGGTACATGTAAAGGTTTGTGGAAACACCAAAAACGCCCCCTGGTACAGGTTGGGGATTATGCCCAGAGATCAAACTGTTGAAGTATTAAAGACACAGAAGAAATCAGTAACTAAAATTGACTTGGGTTGACTGTCCCATTAACCTAATATGGTCAGAATTATGGTTAATCTGGTATAGATCCTAAATGTAAGAGCTATTCTATTACATCTTGGAAAATTATTACTTTAGTCTAAAAACAATGTTTTAATTTGCCTATGCCTGGGACAACATTATCTTTAAAACAAAAAGATATCCAGTTAGATTTGGAATGGCCGGGACAGTAGGGGTACTCGTGCATGGGCCTCATTCGTCTACGACTGCAGAATTCATATGACCCTTTATGTACTTCCAAGCTCAATTTCCTAGTTTGACTGGAGCGTACTTTCAAATCTATCACATTATCGGCCATCTGATCATGAGGGAATTGCAACCCAATTAAAAGGATGGTCGTAAAGTGCTTTGCCTCACGCCAGTGGTTATGCAAATGATATTATTATGAGGTGATTAAATGCAAATTGAATGTATAAATGGCTCTATCTCATGCTGGAAACCAAGAGCAATTCTCATCCCTGGCGCTCAGATCCCTGCACGTAAGGGTGACATCTGAACCTGTTAACAGGTCAGTAAAGCACAGAATGAGGGTCAGTTTATCCTACTTGCCAGTCTCTTTTGTGTTAATTCAGTGATAACACTCCATAAATTTCTGGTAGTCTGTATCTAGTAGAGGAGAAACCTCACTTTACATTCCATCATAAATAGAATGCACTTAACGGGCCTATTAAACCTCTACAGTGTGTCTGTTCCAAGCAGTTAATTGTTTCTGCTTAGACAGCACTCATGGAAAGTTGTGTGACCTTCAGATTCAGGTTCGAGAATGACAAATCCTTTATTAACAAGCACCCATCATAAGAACATAGTAGACTGGCCAATTTGTGGGGGAACCATTATTTGGCCTTAGAAGGAAAACAGAAAGCAGCACTGTGAACAGAATATGAACGTCTGGTTTTGCTTAAAACTTTTTTTTATCCCCAATTTTGGTGGAGGAAGAAACATTAATATCTTTTGACCCTATACACCTAAAGCTTTTTTTTTCTTAGAACTGAACTTAAAAAGAAAATGTTTGCATAAACATTAATAGTGCAAAAGCAGTACCCTGAAAAATCTACCTTTTGCCTTAAATTTCTCCTGGAAAAGATCAGTGTATGGCATGTAAGTGTGCCTAGGCACTCTTGTGAATTTAGCCTCATAGCTGTATATCTGCAGTATTACATCTAAAGTATTGCTGGCTCGGATGACTGCCAGTCTCAAATCTAGTGTGAGATTTGATGTTATTACTTCATTGTTCTGTTTGCCGGAGGCTCTGGCACCAGGAAGCAAACCTACACCTCTACCAAGATGGCCACTCACACACAGAGATACCAGGAAAAACAAGGCATGGTAAGTCAGCAATGAGTATAAGCTGAAGGGAGACCACAGGCAATACTGGTAACTAGCGCTTTACCCTCTGCTTGCCTATATCTGCGCACAGCTTGTAGATGTCAGTTCCTTTTTAAAGGAATAGGTTTACTAAAAGCCCCCAGCCCGTCAACCTAATCTGTTTTCAAACGTCCCCCACCTTCACTCATGCTTACTAACCTCTTCCCGATGTTATCTCCAGTGTTTACAGTATTCTTCCTGAAATTTAGTACAGCTACCGTCACCTGCGCAGCAATTCCCCATAGACTTGAATGAGGCCATACCAATGGGATAACTATAACTATAGGAAGTCATTGCACAGGAAGGGCCAGATAAGCTTTAGGAAGAAAGGATATAAGTACTGCAGGGACTGGCACCATCGGGAAAGGTAAACAGCTGGGCTGGGGGGCACAAGGCTTACATTAGGTTAGGGGGTTGTAAAGGCTGGAAGTTTTTTGTTAAAAAAAAACTGAACGTCCTGCCTACCTTGCTCATGTACTTAACTTTTATGTTCTACATAACTATACCTTATTGGAATGAATATTACAGATGTGCCCTTTTTTCTCTGTTGTATGTTATACCTTATGCTGTTAAGCTGTTTTTGCAGCCTATTTCTTAATAAATAAAAATGTTTGTAAACAAAAAAACAACAACTGAACTTCAATATTCAGTTTCGGGAAATTTTGGATAAGGTGGGGAAGGTGTAGACCTTCCATGTTTCATCAACTGTGCATTCCAGTTATCTTTACTTACTTAGTCTTTAGAAACTGTTTTGCCAACAAACGTTGTCACTTCTGGAATTTCTGGTACATAGCATAGTACATAGTACATAACTTAAAAGGAGAAGTATAGCCAAAGCTTTTTTGGTTGTATTTCTATGGATTACAGGAGTGCAGTTCATTCTGCACTCCTGTGGCCCATTTTCAGCCAACAGTGGGCTAAAGTCCACTGTCGGCTAATGTCGACCCAGGCCCTGAAAAGATCCCTACCATATGGTCGGGATCCACACAGCAGCCTGGGCCAGCATCTCACTCAGTCTCTCAGCTATCCGCCAAGAGCCTGATGCAGCCCCTCCCGCCACCTCCACGGGCCAGCGCTGAAGTGAGCACTGAAGGGGTAGAGCAGAGACTGACAGTTCTAGCTCTCCGCTCACAGTGGAGAGGGAAAACTGAGCGATCAGTGGTGCAGAGCCGACGGGGACAAATGTAGCATCAGATTGATGCTGTATCCACCTAGGTAAGTATAAACTTTTTTTTTTTTACAAAGTCCATACTTCTTTTTTAAACATCAACAAAAGGAAACCAGTTGTATCTTAACTGCTGAACACACTTACTTTTTTCTTGCTGCAGTAAATCTGCCATTTCTTCTCAGCTGGAAGGGCAAACATGGCTTCCCTGTGCTTGTCTGAGAGGTCCAGCTCATCCTATGAACAAGTATATGAAAAAAAGTATTATTCACAGAAATTGCTGCAATACAAATTCACTCTGCATCCCATCCCCGTTAAAACGATCGGGGGGTTTACATTTTAACGCACAAATGAGAAAAGACTGCAACTCTGCACTAGCAGTTCTACAGGTCTACAAAGGTTTTAAAAAGATCTACTGAAACCTCCAGGATGTAGCTTGCTTTTCCAGGTTGACATATGACAGACCATTTTTGTCTACTGTAAATCAAGTGCAAATATAATACGCTTGAATTGATTTCTCGTTTACAGCAGAGAAACTAGGTGGGCTAAACTGTCCCTATCTACCATCAAATACCTTGCTTGGTTGAGTATCTGCCAAAAACACTTTTTTCCTATATGACAAAAGCAAAAAAGCATATAAAAACAACACCATTTCTTCCCACTAATAGTCTGAACAAGATACTATCACATCATTTGGGGGAAAATCAGAAATTCAAAGTTCCCCACCAAAATGGCAGAAAAAAAGCAACAGTTTGCTCTGCTAAATTATAAAGGATGTTTTATCTTTTTGCAGCGAGCTAGACTTTTCACTTGGCAATATGGAATGTTCCTTAAATGTACCATGAAATATGAAACAAATGTTGCACAGCAGAATGCATTTTCCCTTTATAGGGAGATACACATAGCGCCTTCTAGATCTCACTATCAGATCTTCGCACAAAGTTTACACAGACAGAAGTAATTTTGCATTGCACAGATACTGCAGACAATGGCTAATGCCTATGAAAATATACAAGTCTGTATTCATATAGGTAAAAATAAATAATCATAATTTTCTCGTGAACATACATTTTAAAGTAAGCTAAAAAGGCTCCTTCAACTAGTCTGCAAAACAGAACGTGGTTATTCTAGGAGGGACTGTGCAGCACTGCAGCAGAAACCAGTCTCCGGTCCACCACTTTGGTGGGATCTCAGCAAGCTTGTTTCAGCCCACTTTACAATCTAGCCCAAACCAACAAGTTATACTGCTAATTCTACCCAAGAAAAAAAAGCAGCACTGGGTTTTAGTAAAAGTCTATTCCCTCTGACCTTTTTAAAATGAACTTGTAGTTCGACCATACTGGACACATAACAGGTTCACTTAGTAGCCACTCCTCCCCCAAACTTACACTTACAATGAATTGTCAGATGGTATATGAGCATCCCTCCAAATTATTGTGTTCAGGTGTTACCAGTGAAGGGTACTGTTAGGGTTACAGCATACGGTACAAACACATTTTAGGAAGTTGTGTTCTATCTTATTGAGCTTGGTGTGGAGGTATTTTGAGTGGCCTGCATAAAGCCTCAACGCTAATAGACAACTTTACGTTGAACTGGAATGCCAAATGCAAGCCAGGTCTTTTCACCCAAAATTAGCACTTGACCTCAAATGCTCCGACTGGTGGAACACCAATTTCTACAAAAAAATGTGGAAAACCTGCCTGGAAGGAGTAGAAAAACTGTTATAGCCCATAGTTCTGGAATGGGATGTTAGCAAATTGATTTGTTTGAACCTAAAAGAGGTCTATACTGTAGTCCTCTCCTACTTCATGTGATAGCATTCAAGTCTAGCTGCCTGCTCATCTAAGGAAGCGGGAAATGTTCCCCATACCTAGAAGAACAGGGTATTGCAGACCAATTCATCACTGTTTCAGGCTGCTTTTGACTAGAATTGCAGCTTCTACATAATTCTCTGCAACATCCCTCTCCTGTTCCGATGGGAATGGGCAAAGCAAAAGTGGGCTCTGAAAGTCTGGTACTGTATGTCTATATTTATACAGGACCATTTAGAAAGCAAATATGTTAGGAATGACAGGAGGTAGGAAAACTGAAAATATGAGCCACCCAACCAGCAGACACTGGGTCGTCTAAGTAAATTCAAAGGTGAAATTATCATGTTTAACCCAAGTGTGTATTTATACACATACAAGAATCATTTTAGTATTCTATCAAAGCAGGTTTTAAGCAGGTGACTCTATAAACACCAAAGACCTTTGAAGCCACTTAATCTGCCAGCTGCTTGCCTCCCTTACACATGGCAGGTAAATATAAAACAGAGGGCTCTTAATATTGATTACCTGCGCTTGGCCCTAGACGCTTGTCTTTCATTTGCCGTATAAATTAACAGCAGATGCCTGGGTGCAAAACCTCTCTTTTGAAGTAAGAATAACACCATCATTTGCTCTTTAAAGCCAAGCTGGTAGATATAAATCAACATCAAACAAATCCATATACCACCAGCCCTGCCCTCCCCCTCATATTAAAACTGAAAGTCAACAAATGCCCTGTATGTTATGGTTTCAACAGCGACTTTATGTTCCAGTCCTGTAATTATTAAAAGGAAAAACATGCAATTTACCTTTCTAATACTCAGTCTGGAAGGTTACTGTTAAAAAAACATACTGGCTATAATTTAAGAGTTAAATTTAGTTTTATATGATCCTTATTCAAAAAAAATAAAAAAGAAAACTCTTTAAATGAACACCATTTATTATGCAAGTGGAAACCTACAAATCTACTAAAAAAAAAAAAAGGGGGGAAAAACCCCATAAACTTGCTTCAAGGAGCTCTGTGTGATTAGCCTTAAATATTTCATTAAATATATGTGCTAAATGAAGCGCACCGGCCTTCAGACATCAGCATCAAAAGGAATCAGTAGCCACATTTATGGTAAGATCAGTATTTTAAACAGTGGTGGTTAACTTTCTTGATAAGGGGGCTTCAAGTGTGGCCTTCATCACCACCAAAGGGATGCACATAAAATTCAGTGAATATTCATTATCAGTGGCAGCAGGCACACAACAAGATATAGTTAAAGACTATGGGCATTATACAAGAGATGGTCGGAGATTGTGGATGTAATACAACAGATGGTCAGAGACTCAGACATGCAGTAAGAGACTGCCATTTGTAATGAAATAAGAGACTGTCAGAGACTGGGAACATTTTATAGAAGTTGCTGGAAACTGGGAACTTGCTTCAGGAGACATTCATAGACTGGAGACATATTACATGAGGCTGCTTAAAATCACTATTATAGTGGGCAATAGGAAAACAAATATTAGTGTCTACAGGGACCTTGAAGGCCACACAAAAAGTGTGAAGGGACTGCATGGGGCCCCCAGGCCGCAGTTGGGCACCAAGAATTTAAGTCCTTAGGCAAGGCATTGATGATATGATTTTCTTTCCTGAAACTATGGGTTGCAGGAAAGAAAATTGCTCGATTCTCCCATCAAGACAGTCCGTGTTGATGGGGGAATCCCTCCCGCAGCTCCATTGTATTCTGCCAGCAGGGAGCCTTTACTGCCAGCAGAGCACTATGATTACAGTAAGCGGCTATAGTTGCGGCAGAAAGTACTTATAAAAAATCCAGCTGGTTCTGCTGAAGTCGATCAATGGATCAGCTACAGTACAACCAGCCTGCCCATTGATGGATCAAATCTTGGCTGGTTCAGCAGGGACTTGATTTGATCCATCTATGAACGTCTTTGAAATTTTTCCTGTTCAATATTTTTAGTGATATTATTTTTATTGATTTATTGATCAAACAGGCAAAAGTACAGCAAATCACTTCAGGTAGTATAAACAATAAAGATATTTAGGAACTTAGCTCCGTTCTCTGAAGCATGCTATAACAAATAATATAATGCAAAAGAAGGCTCGTCAGCCTTGTAAACATTATTATAAAGAGAAAAACAGGTACAAAAAAGTGGTAACAGACCACGTTGGTAGTGCCATCACAAAGATCCTAAGATGGGATCTGGTCCCAGCAACAGTAAGGCCAATGAGTACTGTGTATTGTGGAGGCAGAGAAAAGAGAGGAAAGGAAGGAGAGAAGTAGACTAGAAGGAGCAGAATAGGGGCAGAGGTGAAAGGAGCAGAGGAGACATTCAGTTCAGAGACCCCAGCCTAGGCCATTCCAAAACTAAGAGTTCAAGGAGGCGTCAGTGGAAGTCCCCTGCAAGAAAGTGAGAGAACCATGGGTACCAATTAAATTTTGCCATGGCCCTTGTAATTTAGCTGTAAGCTTTTTGTTAACTAAGGCCAATCGCATATAAGCGTTAACTTTGGATATTGATAACATATCAGACAACCAAGCCTTTGCTATTGCCTGTTTTTCTGCCATCAAAACATGGTCATCAAGGCGTGTTGTCGCCGTGTAATGTCTGCCAGATGTAGGTTAAACACTTACCAACCAGTCACATACCTGGTATGTCACTGGACTTCAAGTAGTTGTACGGGGATGATACCTGCAGTTGCAGGCATCATCTGGGTACCGTGTTTTTAGAGCTGATGGTTTTCTCTCTTGTAATAGCAATTGGAGTGGCTAACTAGCCACTCCATTGATATTACAAGCAGTGGGAGGGGATGTCCCCACTGCCTTCTACGGATTTTACAGCATCTCATGTCCCACTGGGAGTCCCAATCGACCAGATGGCTGGAACGGCTTTGTTGGGCTCTATAATATAGTAACCCAGAAGCGATTACCTTACATCACTTCCAGTTTACTTGGAAATAAGTGGTACCATTTTTAAAAAAGAAAAGCATTTAATCACACTGATCTTGGTGTGATCAAATGCTTTTAAGGGCAGGAGAGGGATCTGGGGTCTCGTTGACCCCAGATCCCTCCATAAACAGCACCTGTCATATGCCAATTGCTGTCACAGAGATTTACATTCCTTGTGACAGCAAAAAAAGTGCTAAAATTGTATTTATTTATTTTAAACAACAAGCGCCGTTCCCGCACACAAACAGTGATCATCCCACATGTGAGGTATCATCGCGAACATCAGATCATGGGCAGTGATTCTAGCACCAGAGGTCAGCTGTAAATCTAAAGTGGTAACCTGTAAAGGCTTTTAAAACATCGCCTTTGAATAGTAACTTTTTTGACGTTCATCACCGTTGCACGGGTGTGCATAATTTTAAAGCGTACATTTTTGGAACCTATTTACTTGGCATGTTTGGGGGTTCTTAGA